TTTGGTGTGATATCGAAAAGTTTGTTGGTATTGTCCAATCGTGAGATTTTTAAGATTCTGGATGTGTTTTATTTTTATTTTAGAATGTATTCATTGCAAAAATGTGTCCGCTAGCCTACAGATAAACGACTAGTTAACTTGATTCGGCGTTGGCAACACGGGATTGGATTTCAAACCACGCGCGATTTCGGAAGAGCGGCAGGCAGTTTCCAATGAGCTCAGTTTATATGATTTCACTGCAGTGGAAGGTGAGGTGGTGTAACGCGGTGGTAGGGTTGATTTTTCGATACGTTTTCATATATTAACATGAGAATATATTAACTATACAGAATTCCACACTGATTTTTTAAGGTTATCTCATTATTAATGACTAGTGTTTTCATTGTTAAGTTATCGAACTACTGAAGAAACCTATCGACTATCGACTGCATAAATCCTTCGACTATCGACTGGCATGCCGCATGCGGTTGTTCAACGACCAGATGACCTTGAGATAAATTTTACAACAACTCTCGTGCCACACTATGAGACCTGGCTTATAGGACTCAAAAATGAACTTGAAGGAGAGTCTAAAAAACTCTCTGCTTTGCCACTATGATAGGTATAAAGGAAAAACTAGAGAGGTGACGGAATTACCCACGATGTCGGAATATACCGCGTTTACCCTACCAAGAAAGGCAAGAATCGAGCGTGAAAATGATTGTTTCATGGGTGATTTTTGAAAATTGCATACAAAAATTTTTTTCATTTTTTCACTGATGAATTGGGAAAAGGCTATAGGTATAGGAAAATCCAAAAAAAAAAATTTGAGTGGAAATACAATTCGAATTTTCGAAAATAAAATAAATCACACCTCAAGCTCAAGGCTCGAGCAGTCGAGCTACCTAGTCAACTTTCTGCTGTCATGAGTGAAAAAATCAAAATAAAGTATACATGTAATGTGGCAAAACTTCACATTGATAAATGTATCTAACGTAGGAAAAGAGAAAATATTTTTTCATCGGTCACTACTCAGTACTCACTAACGACGAAGTGACTAACGTCACTTCTTTAATCGGAAATAGATAACAAAAGCCGGTCCCCAAATATTTGTCTGCACTAAAACTCGGACAACCTAAATATTTTTTCTCACGGAGTGATGCAGTAGGCCGGAAGCAAACACATATGTTTTCATGATAATAATTTATGATGGAGTAAGAATCCCATAAGAGCATGATATATAATTTCCTAATAGTTTATAAGAAAAACGTATATATGAAAATTATTAGAGTGATAGTATGATAGAGCAATGAACATGATGAAGTAATAATTTCTAATTCGAATTGTTCCCGAGGCGGCGGAAGTATTTAAACATCAATAACGAATATATGTAATCACACCTTCATTATTGACATAGTGTTCTGGCTTTATCTTGACTTTAATATCCAATGACCGGTACATTACTCACTGCTCGTGCCTAAATTGATACAAATCATACAATTGACACAAATTAGGCACAGTATAGTTCAGTCATGGTTGAACTATATAAGGTTGACCCACGAGAAGTTCCACCTTTCAGTTCAGCTTTCTTGTTGCGTCACTGGGATCGAGAAGCGTAAACAATCCCGTCATTCCCGCGACGGATTGGTTGACGGGTTTGAACCTTGGTTGAACCATATAAGGTTGACCCACGAGAAGTTCCGTCTTTCAGTTCAGCTATCTTGTTACGTCACGTAGATCGAGAAACGTAAACAAACCCGTCATTCTCATGACGGATTGGTTGACTGGTTTGATCGCATTTCGGTGAATGGATAACGCCCGTCGCGTCACTGAGATCAGTGACGTCACCGGCGAACAACGAACTACATCTACAAAAATGGGCATCTGATGGGTCAACCTTATACTAGTTCAACCGTGGGTTTGAACGCATTTCGGTGATTGGTTAATGCCCGTGACGTCACTGAGATCAGTGACATCACAGGCTAACAACAAGCTCCATCCGCGAAAATGAGCTTCTCATGGGTCAACCTTATATTGTAGTTCAACCATGAGTTAAGTACGGTACAGTATGTACAGTACGGAGCAGTCTAGTTTAAATAGCTGTGTTCAAAAATAATAGTGACGTCTGTGTTCAGGATTAGAGCAAGTCGGTCCTGTCGCTAATTTTTTTAGATTCTAATCGCGAAGAGAGAGCTGTAACGCTAAGTCAGTAATTTTTCACTGGATTCACTTGGAAAAATAA